GGGTGGTTGCAGGTAAGGGAGCAAAAGAAACATGAGGATTAACATCAGTAGTAACTGGGGTCATTGGAAGAGAGACAAGTGGTGGCTCTTCAGAAACGGGGCCAAAGTCTTCTTCACCCCCAAATCCTTGGGCGAAAAGTCTATAAACAAGACTTGAGGGGGGATTACCAGAATTGTCAATATCTTCATCCTCAAATATATCCAAATGGACATAATCTGGTTCATCAACAAGATTAATGGCATGGAGCCTGAAAGTGGGTCTTGAGAAACAGTGCCTTCATCATATAAAACCACGCGTTTTCTGACTCGTGGCTTCCTCACTAAGGAACTATCGTCATTATCTTCTTCTTCTTCTTCAAAGTCACGGGCTTCAGTATTCTTCCTCTCAGAAGAAGATACACTCAGAATTTGTTCATGTGCAGAGCTAACAGAAAGCCTAGCAGAAGGAACATAAGCGGGGCTGATGCCACAAATGGCAAACCCTAGAAAGAGCCAAAACGAAAGGGATCAAAGGAAAGAAAAAAGAACAAAGGGAAAGAAAATCATGGTAATTAAAAAAAAAAAGGGTCTTTGCTTTCCATCCAAATTTATGAGAAAGAAATTTCCATGATCTCTGGTCCATGGGAGCAACAATCAATATTTTTTCTATCCAGTCACGAAAGTCAGGGATTTCTCTAAAAACTTCCATGATTGCTGAAAAATAAACATAAACGTACAAGAGAGAAAACACTCTCGCGAAGAGCTTCAGGGAGTATAGATGGAGTAAGTGACGAAAAGTAAAAGGAGCGGAAACCAAATTTGACAAATAACGAAGGCAAGCTACTGCCTTCCATGTGATCAAACCTATTTGGCCAAGACAGATATTGAAGTAACAACAAAATTTAATGATTTCTGGATTGATATGAAGGTTGAACCCTAAAGTAAAATGGTAGGTATAAACAAATGAATAACCTTCACGATAAGAGCTAACTCTATCATCAACACTAGGGGTTACTACTGGGATATTTGGTTTCTAGTTGCATTCGCGACGAACCAAGGGAAGGAGACCAGAAATGATCAAACTAGGATAATGATAAACATGGTTAAATGATGTAACAGAAGAGACATGGTTTCTCATAACTTCACAGTCTCATATGAAAGAAAATTTCCGAAGAACAATCTTGGACTAGTAGGCTCTCACATAGGTTCATTGTGGTCTTTCCCCCTAGAGGAAGATCTAGGGGCTATGGAAGTTCCAGCGCTTGAGGAGGAAGGTTTGGCAATATTCTTCTGAGAAGAGAAGAGGTAGAACTATGTAGATAAAGAGCCTAAGCTATAAAGTCTGCCACCTCTTCTACTTCTAGTTGGGGCAGAATATGGGAGAAATTTATCAACAATCACTACCTTGTGGGGGTCTGATGATGAAGAAAGGTTTGAAGAATGGAAGTCATCTTTCATGATAAAAACACAGAGAAAGAGGAATAACTACAAGAAGAGTTAGAATATGAATGTAAGAGAGAAGAAGTGATTTTCAAAGTTGTCTATGATACAGTAATTATAGGGAAAACTCGTCATCAGAAACTGTCATTATGAACTATCATCATGGAACTGTCACTTAACAATTGATGTAGTCGCAAAAACCTCTAAAAAGACGCTAAAAATTGCAGAATCAATTACAACAAGACACGTGTCCTAGGCATTAAATGGACATGACATACGTCTCATCGTTTTTGAAGAATGTATTATGATAGTTGGGAAGAGGCGGCAAGACATTCCCGCCATAAATGAACTTACCACTTTTCGAATATTCAGAAAGTGGAGGGATTATTTGTATTGGTGAAAAAAAGGTATGACACGCGGACCAACAACGAGGTGGCAATTGGCACTTATAATTGGGTTAATGAAATAAGACAGAAAGGCACGTATAAAATATCCACGATGTTTTATTAAAGAAGGTACCATATCTGATAGCTGGAAAAGAGGAGATAGGCACGAGATGTATGAAGACTATAAAAAGGGAAGACTCGTGAATCGATTGTAAATATGGAAAGGAAATCAACATTAGCTTTGGTTATGTGCGATCCTCTATTATTACCATAACCGTTATATGCAAATTTAGTAACAAGTAATTAAGGCAATTAATACCAATAAGGAGTCAAAATTAAGTAAGAAAATTATTACATTTGTGTATCCTTATATAAGACTTTTATCTCATTTTATACGATCATATGAATATCTCTAAATATATGCAACCAACATTTTATTTTACTTGATTCAAGATTTCAATCCGCAATTCCGGGAGAAATTAGCAATCAACAATAAGCTCTCTTTCCTTCACTTACTATTTCAACTATTTGTTATATCTTTGTAAGTGAACTAAATTTGGTTATCAGTAACCCGATTTTCTTTAATATTAGCCTTGACCACAAAAACCATTTTTGGGTTAAACAATATAAACATTTAATAAGATATGTTGAAAATAACACTAGGTCTTGTTAATCCATTAATATGTGCGAATAATTTAATAAGATAAATATAATGAAAATATATAGTACTAAGTTTTATCAATCTGCTATAACTTGTGAATAATTAAACAATACAGATAAAACTTGTCAACTTGTTAAAACTTATACTGTAGCTAATTAAACGGGATGGATCGGAGGAAAATAAGAGAAAGTTTTGGTGTTCATAAAGACTTTGGGTGTTGCCTCTAATAAGATGAATGAACCACAATTGTGACGGAAATAGTTCATATCTAGTAGTGGAAACTAATTTCTGCTCTACTATGTCGTAAGAGGTTGTGAGTTCGAGTCACCCCAAGAGTAAGGTGATGAGTTCTTGGAGGGAAGTATGCCGAGGGTCTATCGAAAACAGCCTCTCCACCCCAGAGTAGGGGTAAAGGTCTGCGTACACGCTATCCTCCCCATACCTCACTAGTAAAATTATACTTTGTTGTTGTTGCTGTTGTTGTTGTATGTCCTTACAAACTGAGCTTTCGTCGGGATGTAAACGGGTTTGCAACCATTCAAAAAGAGAGGGCCAACAATAAAGGATGCCCCAAACTATCACAAATCACAATAGGATCTTGAGTGTATAATTTATGTTCAAGGATATTTTAGTCCAAATTTATTGAAATTTAAAAAGTTATATCTAAGCAAAAGCAGGAACAAAAAATAAATAGTGGTGTAAAACTATCCTATTCGAACAAATCTCCCCTTCTCATTTTGGTCAATAATGTCCGCAGTTTTTAATCAAACATTAATAGTATTAAAAGAGTTGCGAAAAATTAAAACCATATCTTTGTAGGATGCTTAATTTCGCTTTAATTTCAGTATTTATGTTAGTGGGGGGGGGGCTTTATTCGTACTGACGTCCTTTTTATTTGTGGACGCTGCA